CTACCATTAGTTACATTAGGGAAGAGGCCGCAGACATCTTTCACCACAGTCTCCTTTCAGGAAGTTGTAGAGAGTGATAAGGTCTCCCCTGAGCCTCCTCTTCTCCTGACTAAACAATTCCAGTTCCCTCAGCTGCTCCTCATAAGACTTGTGTTCCAGATTCCTTACCTGCTTTATTGCCCTTCTCTGGACGTGCTCCAGAGCCTCAATGTCTTTCTTGTTGTGATGGGCCCAAAACTGAACACAGTATTCAAGACACTTTCTCATCAGTGCTGATGACAGAGGGATGATCACTTCCCTGCTCCTGCTGCCAACACTGTTTCCGTCACCAGTCAGGATGCCATTGGCCTTCTTGGCACACTGCTGGCTCACATTCAGCCGGGTGCCAACTGACACCCCCAGGTCTGTTTCCTCTATACAGTCTTCTAGCCACTCTGCCCCAAGCCTGTAGCATTACCTGAGGTTGTTGCAGCCAAAGCGTAGCACCTGAAACTCGGTCTTGCTGAACTTCATCCCATTGGCCTCAGCCCAGTGATCCAGCCTGTCCAGATCTCTCTGCAGGGCCTTCCTAACCCCAGGCAGATTGACATTTCCTCCCAACTTGGGGTCATCTGCAAACTTACGGAGGGTGCACTCAATACCCTTGTCCAGGTCATCAGTAAAGATACTGAGCAAGGTAGGCCCTAGTATCAACCCCTGGGGAACACCACTCATGACCAATCACCAGCTGAATTTAACTCCATTCACGACCACCCTCTGGGCCCAGCCATGCAGCCAGTTCTTTAGCCAGCAAAGAGTGTACTTGTTCAAGCTGCAAGCTGCCAGCACTCATGTCATCTTCGTAGATTCATAAAATAAATCCCATATACAGAACCTGAAGCTTCCCAAAGGTATAAAGGAATGGGCAGCGTGGGGCGTGATTAAGTTTTCATATATTTAGTTATCCAAATCTTCTGGGACCACAGTGAGATTTTGACTGAATGAGGATTGTTGCAAACTTCTCCACTTCATAAGGATTTTGTGATCATAGGCCAGGAATGATGTTCTGTTGCAGCATCCTAGAAGCAGCAAAGGATTGATGGTTTTCTTTTCCAGGCCAGAACTCTACCCTGCAAACTATTAGTGACATGTGACATGACAGTCAGTGTTACTACTACTCTACCAAAAAGAAGACATGGCAATGGAGTCGAGGGTTTTGTTCCTCACAAAACTCTACTGTTCTTCTGATAAAAGGGGCAGAAAAGCTAGTTTGGTTTTTGATTCCCTTTAGCATGAAGGAACTTCCCCTTTGGCAAGAACAGCTCTGTTAGGCTGTTTGGTAGATGACATAGACTGGAAGTTAGGACAGTCTCAGTTTTTTCAGTGCTCAGACTGACTATGGAGTCAGCAGCTTCCTGTCAACTTGTCATGTCACACACCATTTACTTAAACATTTCTGTGAGCTAATTTTCTACAGTGATTGTATTGTTCTGGGAAGGGCTAAGACATAAAGTCACCACCACACAAAGTGCTGCCCTTCCAGCAGCTGGCAGTCAGCAAAAGTCTCTCTTACCATCACTGTGGCAAGATACTCTCTTACTACTAAGATGACTGGTGAAAGTGGTTTAGTCATTAATTTAAGAAGTGTTACAGACTTGGTAAGATGTTAGTGTAAAAGCTTCTTTCAACTTCTCTCCATAGGTGCACCATAGTCCTCCCAATTTTGTGGAAGTGCTTTTTGCAAGAGTTGGTCTCATGTTCTCAAACAAGATGAAAACACTTGGGAATGAGTTGCTGATATCTGACCTAAACTTTCAGTAAATGAAAACCAACTGGAGCAGGAAGACAAAGTGCCAAATGTAGAATGGAGTAATGCTTTTGCCTCTAGTTTACAGCACACATATTAAAAATTAAGGCACAAAATATGTCCCAAGAGCTAGCAGCAGTCATAGCGGGGCCTGTGTGCCCTCCAGCATGAGACAGTGGCAATTCCCTCCCCACTGAGCTACAGGGTAATGTGTCCCCCAGAAGCAAAGAGAAGTAATTTTGTGGTCATCTTCTCACTCTGGTTGCAGCAAAGATTGTGAGGTGCAGTTTGCTCTAGCTGTCTTAATTAGGGCACTGAAAGAAATGAGGCAAAGGAGAAAATGGCTCCCTGAAAGTGGTAATAAGAAATGAAGGAGCAGGACAACAGAAAAACTGAATTGAAATCTTCAGAGATTTCCCTCCAAATATTAGGAAGAAAGGCAGCATAATTTCAGTTTACCTTCATACCTGTTCTGATCAGAGAACATTTTAAGAAGAGAATCATTAAATGCTTAACTTTAAACCATTTCACTTGTAATGGTTTACATCTAAAGATTCCATAAATCAAATCCAATCGTTCCTCGGAGCTGCTTTGTATTTACTACTGACAAATGCTGAGGGCAAAGTAAAGGAGGAGGAATGACTAAAGTGAGGGCCAGTGATCTAGTGTTTCACTCAAGGGGTTTGCTGCATCTTCAGGGCAGATAAGACTGCACTGGGCAAAGGAGCTGAAGACAAAAAAGGCCATCAAAAAAGCTCTTTTTAGGGCTTTTTTTTGAAGCCAGCAAAAGTGCTGTGCCTTTGCCTGGCAGACTGGCAGCTTGTGGGTGGGCTGCTGAGCTATCATGAGTGGAGCCAGTCCTGCCCACCCTTGACTCTTGGCTGCCAGGTTATAAACAGCCTCAGGGAGGGTGGAAGCTAGCTTCCACAGAGCACGCAGGGCAAGCAGTGTTTCTGCCTGCTGAGAATAGGGAGGGGAAGTCAGTGCATGAGCACAGCCTGCACTGCCCACACTGTACTGCAGCAGCAGATATGGGAGGTGGGTTGAGCGGCAGGGCACGTAAGCGCTGTCCCTCTTTGCTCAGGCAACCTGCTTTCCTATTCGCTGTCTCTGAGACCACAGGTTTAAAGATGATCTCTGCCAGACAGCAGGCTTGCCCCAAGAAGACTGTGGTGTCCCAGAAATGTGTCTGTTCAGATCTCTGGCCGCAGGGAATGCCTGAGCCTCCTGCTGCCTGGGGAGTGTGGCAGAAGTTCTACCTGCGTGAGGTGTGAGCAGGTGGACGATCTGCTCAGTATGGTGGTAGAGCTCAAGGAGGAGGTGGAGAGACTAAGGACCATCAGGGAGTATGAGCAGGAGACTGACTGGTGAAGTGACTCGCTGGCATGCAGTTGGGAATGGTGCCAGGGAGATACCCCCAGAAAAGTGGTAGACCCCCTACCCTGTCACAGTCAGACAGACCTGACAGATGAGAAGGGTTGGAAGAGAGTCCCAGCTCAGCATCATGGGTGCACCCCCTGCCTGCCTGCTCCACTTCACCAGGTCCCCCTAAGCAATAAGATTTGGGGTACTGGAAATTGAAGGGAATGCGTACACCATGAACCCACAGTTAATGCTAATACTTGAGCACTGTCCTGTATGGAAAAATTGACTGAAAATGCCCTTTACTCCAAGCTTGTCACCCAGAACTTCTTTTTGCACATGGGTAAGCTATAATGCAAGAGATGCATGCAGCCAGTGGTATTTCTGCTCTGAAAAAAAAAGCTGTCAACTGCACAGCAAGGCAGAAAGTCAGTCATAGTGTATTTCCAGTCTGCAAACAGGAAACCCTGCACTTTACACATGAGCAGAAATAGCTACCACAGAAACTCCTCCATTGCAATTTCCCACTGACTCACTGTTTCACCATGACATGAATCACCATGTCTGGAGAATCATTCTGTTAAAGCTTTGGAAGATGTTCAAGGACTAGAGATCAGAACTGAAGGAAGGTACAGCAAAGTGTTAGAGATGGAGAGTGAGGAAGAATAAGTCATTTCTGCACTGCAACTCCTATGTACAGTGCAGCAGCAGAAAAATCCCCAGTGTTGCTTGATCTTTGCATGACCCAGGTTGAGTGACCATGTCAATCCTGCTAAGCTCCTGACCTCACCACTCTGTCAGCTCAGTTTTTCTTATTCTCCATTTTGAACCTTTCTTTCCTGCTTGTTTCCTTGCTTTCTCACTTTCTTACTTGCTCTTTCTTTCTCTTTTGTTTGTTCTTGTCCCTCACCTCCTTTTCTGCTAAAGTTTTTCTTCTGATCTTGCCACATCTGATAGTTTCCCACCCCTTAGAAGAGAAAACCTTGCTTTCAGGACAGGAGCTTCTCAGCTCTACATATTACTGTGCAATGTTGAGAGAGGAGTGAAGCTCTTCTAAAATATACCACAGCACTGATTGAACAGCACCTAGGATGTAAACATTTACTGGTAGCCCTCCTGCTGACCTGATCACAGCCTATAATAACATAAAAAAGCAAATGCCATCTATCATAATCACCCAAAATTTAGTGCCAGACTACATGGAGAATCCTGTCAACATTTCTTGGTAAATCAGGATAATCTTCACAAATCTTCTCCACTTGTTACTTACCCCCTAAGTCCAATATTATTATTTTTCCGGATACAGAGAGGTTAGAATTTTCCCTTAATGGTCCTCTCTCTGGATCTTCCTAATCACTTCACAGTCTAAAACTGCATGAGGTATCTAAAAGAGCATGGCTTGACATAACATTCACTGTATTTATAGCATTCATTTAAGTGAAAGTTTGCAAAATTTTTTCACTTTTCATTTATTTAATAGTAGTCTGTGGAAATGCAACCTATTACTCTCAAATGTAGCTCTTGTGCTGTATTTGTGCCCTTTGGTTTACACAGATAATTCTCATAGTTTAAAGCAAAATAGCAACTATTTTTAAAACATCGTAATTTAAGGAGGTAGAAAACCCTAATGTTTGGGTAATCAAGTGAAACTGTTCTAGGCTCCATCCAAGAACCAAAACTCCTGGCCTTCATGTTCAAGAAATTACCCATCCTTAATAGAGATTTTTTTTCTTTTAACATACTTTTATTATGGCACAGTAATCAGAACAGAGCCAGCTTCCTTTGTGGTTTCACTGGAAAGGCTGAAATGTAAACCATTCCCACTGCCCTGTCTGTCTTTCTGCAGTGTCTCCCATCTCCCATGTAATGTTCTTGCTGGAAAGAAGTGTGACAAGCTTAAGATGGAGGATGAGGAAGGCTACACCACACTAAATTTACGACTCCCAGCTTCAATTATTACTGATGGATACTCAAGCAATAACAAATGTCCTACATTTAGTACTCCAGCCAATTGTGTTACAGTAGACAGTAAGTACATATGGAAATCAATTATCTGTCTAAATCGGGATGTAACTTAAATTAGCATGTTCATCTTGATTGCTCTAGAATCCTTCAAAACTTTATAGTATATTCTTATTTAAATTTTCATCCATAAAGCAGTCTTACATCAGTATTGTATGATCACAGAAGATACTTTTTCTGAAGACTTTATGGTCTATATTTATGCCAATTATTTTGTTCTATTTATGTAAACACAAAAGACAAATTCTGCCTTTATATGGATTTTATTATTTTGGTAAGACTCATTTGTTACAGTAGGGCACTGCAAAAGAGGAAGGCAGTCTTTGGAAATTGAAGGAGCTTGCTCAGCCAGTGGAAGTAGAAAGTTGCCCTGTTTTTCAGCCATAGTATAAATGCAAGCTCATATGGGAGTTTATTTTTATTTGTTCAAAGTCTTTCTATGAGGAAAATGAGTGTTAAATAAAGTAGTTCAAAGTTTTTCTGTAAGGAGACTGAATGTTAAATAAGTTTTGTTAAATAAGTGTACTGTGCCTGTGGAATGCCTGAGTCCATAAGAAGGCAACTTGAATACAGTTGCTGTTGCTCAGAACTTAAGGTACAGGCTTTTGTGTGAAATAAGTATAACTGATGCTAATCATATTGATTGAACAGAATAGTCATAGACTAAACTGATATAACTCTGATGCTGTTTGGAATAGATCCAGGACTGTCCTATGAAAATGAAAAGGATGGATAAGTTGTTGGCAAGCAGAAGCCAGAAAGGCAAGGATACATATTAGGTAGTCTTATCTAAAGGCAGAGTTTCCCAGAAGGAAACATGGTGGCAAGCTCAGAAAACTCTTAAATGACCTCTTTTTGGACATAAAGGACATGTAGATAGACTTATGTGCCAATTAAGTTAGGAGTAATCACCATAGTTCATCTTTGCCAATCTCCATCTTGAAAAGGCTAGCTAGGTTTAAGTCTGATTAAGTCACTCAGTGTGTTGCCTGCTTGAATTTTGGAAACCTCCAGGCATGGAGATCTCACAGTCTCTGTGTGCACTTATTCCAGTGTGGAAGGGAAGAATTATTTTTCTTCACATCTAATCAAGAAGTTCTTCTGGTGCAAATTGTGACTGCTGCATTATACCCTTTTCTGTGCCTCTGAAAAGGGTGTGGCTCTGTCTGTGAAGCTCTTCTACACAATGGGGGACTGAAATTAGGTCCCTTAGCTTCCTTCAACTATTCTGTAGGTGTGACCTGTATTATCCATTTTAGTGGTTCTCTGCTGGACTCTGTATAGTTAGCTCACATCTCTCTTGACTGAAAGGCCCCAGCACTGGACATGTTACTCCAGATGTGGCTTCATGGCTGCTAAGCAGAGAAGAAACTACTTTCTTTCTAGGTGCTGCCTACAGTCTTGACAGTGCAGCACAGTGATGATCAGCTTTCCCCTCCATAAGGGACTTGTGTTCACACTGTACACCAGGACCTTGAAATCTTGATCAGTATACATGCTTTCTAGCCAGTCAGACCTCCAGCTGCACTGGTTAATGGAGTAGTTCTGTTAGAAGTAGAGGACTTTGCATTTGTCTTTTCTGAGCTCTGTTGCACTTACAGCTCATTCCTGCTTTAAAAAGCATCTCTATCCTCCAGCACACCAGTCACTACCCACAGCGTTCTGTCTTCTGCAGTCTTGAGAAATGGCCTTAACCAATAAAGGTTAGGATCATCTTTCTCAACTGTGGCTATGTAAGTTTCAGTTACCCAGTCTGGGTATCATCTGAGCACCTCTGGAGGATAATTATTCTCACCTTATAAAAGACTTGTTCCTCAGATGCACTGGACTCAAATGATAGTACTTGGCATATGTAACCAGTAGAGTGTGGATTGGACTTGGAAAAGTATTACAGAAAATTGTAGATCACTACTTCATGAAAAAATTGTATATGAAAATATTTTAATTAGAGGATAGTCAGCTTTAAATTTCTGAAGGACTATATTCCTGATGGGGCATTGAATTCCAATGGATATTTGGAGAAAAAGCTTGAAGGAGGATGCACAGTTTAATGCTGGAACATTGCAAGCATTTTGAAATTCCAATCAGAGTGCCTAGAATTTTTTTATCTAAAACTAGATGGTAACTTTTTTTCTTCATGATGAAATCTTACAGTTTGTTTTACTATTTCTAGAATTGTGGAAATTTCAAAACTTAATTTACTTACCTACCTTCTGAGGAGAGATTTTGTTTTAAAACATTAGAGCCTTAGTTAATACATATTTTCGGTGGATATTTCTAGAAACAAAAAACAAAACAAATAAACAAAAAAACTCCTAGAAATTCAGGACAGTGATAACATAAACTTTGTAGTAAGTAAAAGAAGCTCTACAGAAAAGATAAGGTGGTGATGCCAGAAAGTAGGTAACATCACTGTGTGCTGAGGAAGCCTTTTTGTTGCTGATTTTTTTTCTTGTTTGTTCCAGGAGTTTCTGCCTCATCTGCCATAAGGCAACCAGCAACCTTAGTGTTCTTCGCTTTGAGCCTGGTGCTGCTCACAGGTCTGGTGGTCTTACTGTCCCTGTGTAAGTACTGTGGTGTCCCGAGGTACTGCTGAGCACTGATTTACTTCCAGCAGTGCAGCTAATGTGTCTGACCATCCCTCCAAACACCCATGGAAATAATAAAACAAGAATGGAAAATTCCCTGCTCCATTGTGCATCTGCACATGTCACTTGGAATGACTTCGGACTGTATTCACAGCCTCCGCCCCATCCCACACTGAGAGAAAAGCTTCTAGGTGCAACAAAACTTCCACTGCACTTAAAGGAGTAGCTGAGGAGTGAAAGGCTGAATCCTTCCTCAAATGCTTAATTTTTGTAACTGAAATTCATCTCCTTGGCTACACAGTGCCTCCAGTGACCGTTACTGCAGTCTTTCACTTACCATTCCCACTTTCTTGAATTGCAAGTTTTTTGCAAGGATGACAATCTTGATTACAATAGAAACATTTCAATTTATCAACCGGAAGTGATGCCACAGTATATATTGAAGCAAAGAGAGAGTTCAAGCTCCTTTTCAGTGGGAGGGATTCTTTTACAAGCGCCCAGGACAAACACTCAGGGTAGTCCATGATTGTCTGCTCAGAAACATTTCTGTGGGTTTCTAGTTCGCCCTCCAATGCATCCCAAGCTGAAGTATTAGTAACCACGAATAAAATCATTTATATCTTTGTTTAGATCACTTTGGAAATTCTCCAAGGGTGGAGATGCCACCACTTCTTTTCTCAGTGCTGAACCTTGATGAAGAGCTTTCTTCTAGTGACCAACATAAATATCTCAAGTCTTAATTTGTGATGGTTGCCCACTGTCGTATTACTTTCTGCTCTCCAGGGCAGTTTTGCTCCCTTTTTGTAAGTGTCCTTTGAGTAGCTGTAGATGCCTATTAAATCCATTTGCAATTAATTCACTTTTAGCTGAAAATCTTCTTCACTCCACTCATTTCAAAAAATGACAGTACAGATGATGTATAGGCTGGACATGCAAATAAACCAGACAAAAATAGGAATAATGCCAAAAGCTAGAATTTAAAATTATTTTTAAAGAAAAAGCTCTGATAAGAATTTTCATCCCTTCAGTTTTTCAGATATACCAGGACCCTGAAGAAGGAAAGAAGCTGCAGGCCATGAGGGAAGCATTGTGTTTTGAAAGGAGGGCAAGGAATGGTAAATGTAGTTATTGTGTGCATAAGCCTGAATCATCCACTTTCAAAGCCCATTGACTGAGAGCTGTAAAACCATGGGAAAAATAATCTGTTCACCTACTGTCTGCTTTTAAGTGTGGTGGTATTTGAGATGTAGGTTTGAACAAACTAACATGTAAAACAATTTGTCTCTCACAGGCCTCCAAACATCTCAGATGATTCATAACTACCCTTAATCTTCTCTCTTCAGTCAAACCCAGCAGCTAAAGCCCCAGTTTTACTTGCAAATCTGCAAGTACTCTCTCTCTGATTTTTACAAACAGAATGTGCTCTCTGTCCAGCAAGGTGGAAAAGCAGTGAAGCGGGCAGCTGCTTCTACGTTTCAAAGCAGAAGAAAACATGGAAAGAAAGCCAGCAGTTTTGTTCCACAAGAAACTCCACACTTCTTGTGCTGAAAGACAGAATAAAGATGGTATAGTTTTAATCTCATGCTTCCTTTATGTCACATGTATTTTAACTTCAAGAAATGTGGCAACCAGAAATTAGTTTGGTCATTTACAGGGCCTTTGTTTGTTTTCTCTGTGTCAAGTGGTCTTTTTGAAAATTACAGGATTTTCATGACTTGTAACACTTTGTTGTGTCGCACTAATTGTGTTAGCAAGGATAACACACAATGTATGAAATACCTAAATTAGCTTATCCCTAGATTTTCATGGAAACAGTAGATTGCATATTGTCAGCATGGAAAGGACACCTAGCACACAGAACATATATCTCTGTTATCTCTTTCCACAAGTTTTGTTACTGAGAACTCCTAGAATCAAACCTAGGTCTACAATTGATCTAGAGTGGCCAATACACCATGCTCTCATTTGTTGTATAAAATGGCAGTCCACAGTTTGGGTTTTGTTTTTCTACTACACCCTTCAAAGACCGACATTAATGACAGCAAAAAGGATAGACAGCAGAGGATTTTATTATGACTCAATAAGGTTTAGGGAATTAATAGTTTTGAATAAGCTTCTTAATTTTGTTATTTTTGTTGACTAATGAAAAACCAGTAATTTACTGGCCGAAGCATATTTTCCCTTTCTACACACACATCTAGATACCTCTTTTTCACTAGCTATTAAGCTTACACAAAGCCCAAAAACCCTTATTTGCTTTTGGCTATGTAAAACTTTTGAAAGGAAAATGCTTGTGTGAAAATCCCTCCCTTTTTCAGATGGAGTTAGTTTCAAATATGAGTTCTCAACTCTCTCACTTTAAGGCTTAAAATACCCATTTGGATTTTTTTTTAAATGAAAATCAGCTGGATAGACACAAGTAGAAAACTGATACATTACTTAGTCTAGCAGAACTAAAGAGCAATGAAGCTCGCAAAGGGTCTCGAAAGCAAAAGTTATGAGAAGCCTAGAGAAGAGGAGGATAAGGGAAAACCTCATCACTCTCTTACAACTACCTGAAAACCAGAAAGGAAGTTGCACGAAGGAGAGTGTTGGTCTCTTTTCTCAGGTGCCAAGTGATAAGATGTGATGCAACAGCCTAAAGTTGCACCAGGAGAGGTTTGGGTTAGCTGTTCAGAAGAACTTCTTCATGGAAAGGGTGGTTAGGCATTGCCCAGGGAGGATAAGTTTCTCTCCTCCCCATCCCTGGAGATATTTAATGGATGTGTGCACGTGAAACTTAGGGACACAGTTTACTGATAGACTTAGTAGGGTTAGGTGATGGTTGGTTTGATGATCTTACAGATATTTTCAACTTAAATTTTCTATGGAAAAATTTCTTCTCAACTTTAAACTTTCTATGATTCCATGATCCTGAGCTCAGAATCCTTGTCCACATTGCTGGGGAATACCTGACCACCACAGCTTGAATGACCATTCAAGAGATGACTTTGGTATGCTATATAAATCCATGTGTAGTTTGATGACAGATGAGTGGGTGTTTGCTTTATCTTCCATGTTTGGTATATATTACTGGAACCTGACTAAAACTAGGCCAAGTTAAGCTAGGTTTAGATTTTCGATTTTGGATGAGTCCCTAAGTGTCCCTACTAAGCAATAGTTTCTGGAGGATCTGAACAGGTTGAGATGCTGAGGAACCTCTTAGAAAGCACATATAAGGAATTATTCAGGTGCCTAAGCATAGTTGTCTAGTGCAATCTGAGATGCACTGGAATATACTCTCTCACCTTTAAATAATGCTTCAGAAAGGCATAATTTTCCTATACGTTACAGATGTCTGCCTGCCAGATCTATGACAACACTTCAGACAGCTTAGGCTATCCGAAATGGTGTTAGAGAACTATGCTTAGCAAACAAATTCTCCCCTGTAGGCAGGGATTCATTCCACTTAACACCAGACATCTGCATTGTAAGTGTTCTCCAAAGCTTCTTTCTTAGTCTTCATTACTAGCCAATACAGTCACTACTCTTTAGCATTCCCACTGCATGAGATGAATCACATCTCAGGCTTCTGGCCAGATCTCTGCTAACTCTAACTGGGGCTTCAACAATGCCTCATGTCTGTAACATAGATACCTTAAGACAGAAAAAATAATATATTTTTCTTTATAAAAACATTTATTTTGCAGACTCACGGTACATTTATCTTGTGACAGTTCAATAAATAAAGATATTTGAATGATTCTATAATCAGAGCAGCCAGCATTGTATCATGGAAACAAGAATAGGCAACAGGTTACTCATATAATTGAGCAATTGCAATTTGGTTGCAGAAACTTCACAGCTGGAAGATACAGGAATTTGAGTCTTATTTTTGAAATATCATTGTGATGATTTTCCCATTGCTACAGGTCTCTCTGCCATACAACTCACAGTTTTATTGGGTTGGATTATCATACCTACCTGAAAGGAATGGCTGGTTCTGGGCGGATGGAACTGCTCTTTCAGGAGAAGCCAAAGTTTGGTAAGACTTTGTAATCAGTGTGGTTCTGTCTTACGGGCCCCAGTAACATGCAGGAAACTTACAATTACTCTTACTTTCCCATGTTTGCCACATATGCAATGATGAAGGAGCACGGAGATGATCATATCTGCTATAGGGCTATCAACAGTGAGTAGCAAACAACAGCTCAGTCACTGTCCCTAGACCCAAAAAGCACTAATAAAATAGCTTCGAGGGGGAAATAACTCTACATTTCAGTGGCAAATCAGTATGATAACAAATTCAAATACAGAGCGCACAGTATTATTAATCCCCGTCTTTTAATTTTCTAGGACTGTATTAGGTGAGCACACCTTCTGTGCCTCCTTATATGGACAGATTATTTATGCCAGTAACTCCTGTTCGACAAAGCAATTCTGGATCTGTGAGAAAGGAGCTGTTCAATTTGCCTGAAGAAGCACTGTGAGAAGGAACGTGGGTTCTGTAACTGTTAGATGCCATTTCTAGGAAGTGGGTGTTTTAAATGTAGCTTTATTTTTATTTGTTTATCATGCAGCTTTCTCAGAATGTTAATTCAAATAGACAGGTCAACAGAGATTAAACTTCCTCTTCACCTGCACCCAGGCTCATAAATGAGAGAAAAATACTACAAAGCTAAAAGCTACAAGTCTAGGAAGCAATTTTAAAGGGTTAGCAGCAGTCAAGTAATAATTCTTTCATGAATCTTTAGAAGGACAACCACACATTCTCAAAGAACCATATATTTCTTGTGCTTCTGTTAGAATTTCTCCTTTCCTCAGCATTCTACAGCTGCCAGTCATAAACCACTCCATCTGCATCCTTGATGATTTTATCCACTGAATTACTGTACACACTAACTACATAACCCTGTTATAGACCAGTTTGCCTACTCATGCCCTTGCTCCTAATTCTGTTCTTCCAGTTCTTCCCTCCTTTAGAGTGTAGAAATACAGAATGAACACAAGGTTCTGTCTTGGGATTCAGTCCTGAAGGGTAAAGGGATCCGAGAAGGCTGGTCGCTCCTCAGGAAGGGAGTCTTGAAGGTGCAGAAGCAGGCTGTCCCCTCATGAGGTGCACAAGCCTCATGAGGAATGGTTGAGGGAGCTGGGACTATTTAATCTGGAGAAGAGGAGGCTCACAGGTGGCCTTATCGCTCTCTACAATTACATGAAGGAAGATTGTGGTGAAGTGGGGGTCAGTCTCTTCTCCTGCATAATTAGCAATAGAACTAGAGGGAATGGCCTCAAGTTTCACCAGGAGAAATTCAGTTGGATGTTAGGAAATTTTTCTTCTCTGAGAGAGTGGTTAGGTGCTGGAATGGGCTGCCCAAGGACGTGGTGGAGTCACCTACTCTGGAGGTGTTCAAGAAACATTTAAATGTACTGAGGGGTATGGTTTTGTGAGAAATATTGGTAATAGGAGGACACTCCGCTAATGTGGAGGACACCACAAGACTGGGTGATCTTAGATGTCTATTCCAACCTTGGAGATTCTAAGATTCTATGATTCTCTGAAATTAAGTGTCCAAGATACCTGACTTCTTTCTCCATGTACTGGAGCTTATTTTTGGACACCCTCAGTCCCTGAGGAAATTTAGGAATTTATTTTTCTTTCAGTTTTGATTTCTCTGCCCCACAGATTAACAAATCATCTACGTAATGCAACAACATTACTCCTTCTTGAACCTGAAATGCTTCTAAAATTTATCCAAATAAATTAGGTGAATCCTTGGGGCAAAACAGCCCACCCACATTGTTGTTTTTGTCCTGTTCCTGGGTCTTCCCATTCAAATGCAAAAAGATCTCGGCTTTCTGGATTCAAGGGGCAGAACAGAAAGTACCTTTCAAATCTTTTACTCTAAACGTTTTATATTCATGTAGAATCTTAAGGGTATAGGGATTGTGAACCACAGGGTGGCGCTTGAGGTCTATCTTATTTTTTATTTAGCTGCGCTGGCCTTTCACGCTGCCAAATTGGAGTGTTATGTTTCAACGCACAAGGTTCCAAAAGACTTCAATAGTATTTGTACCACAGCTTTTAGACCCATTTTCTCTTCTCAAGGTATGGGATATTGTTGCTGTTTCTCTGCTTCACTCCTCTCCTGAACAATTATTTTTAAGAGAGTAGTTATAAGTCCCTTGTAGTTTCCTTCTCCCACCCACAATTTTGGATCTATTTCTTTCTCATAATCTGTTGTTATTAAATTCACTGAAACCCTTATTCCTGTTTTACACATTCTCAACTGCAATTCTAATTTAACTATTAAATCCCTTCCTAATAAATTTGTCCCTGCTTCAGGCACATACAACAGTTGTCCTGTGACTATTTTATCTTCCCACTTTAATTCGGCAGCCTCAGAAAGTGAGACTATCATCCCTGATCCTTCTACCCTGTTATTCTTAAAGTGTTTCCAGTAAAATTTAGTCCCAATATTTTATAAGCTAAAGATGACTTAGCTGCCCCATTACCTACTGAAAATACAATGTCTTCTTTCTTGGGTCCCACCTCCAAATTTATCCAGGGCTCTTGGTGGGACCAGCTCTCAGAAAGCTTTTGACACCCCTATTCTGAATGTATGACTGTGAGTAACCACTCTGCCTCAGAAAATTTCAACATTTTACTCAAAGCATTCAATTTGCAACTGTATTAACTCATTCTTTTCTTTTACTCCATCACATTGAGTGCATTGAGGAAAGTTACAAGGGGAAGTCAGTACAAGTGAGAACGTTATGACGACTTAGTATTAGGGACTTTGTTTTCTCTTTATGTGATCAGATAAAAATCTTTGCTTTTTTATCACTGTAAACCAGTTAAATAGTGTCATCTGGATTATGCTAAGTGAGGGCAAATAAAATCACATTTACTAAGACATGGCTGAAAAGTATAAGGTGAGGACAGATGCATCTTTGGCTGCAGGAAAGGTTAACAGAATCAAAATAGCCTGCGTTTAAACCAACATGAGTGACTGCTTCCCCTGTCTCACTGTTTTTGCAGCTCAAAGTTAAAACTCAATTTCAGTCCTAGTCTATTGAAAGAAGTTCACACAAGCTAGGCTTGTATATGGGCACTGACTGGTGGACAAAGAACTACTGAAGAGGAAATGAATATCTGTATTAGTTTGTGCAAGAACTTATGACCAACAGATAATGTAGACAGTGATGCTGATTATTTTACAAGGGATTACTTTTATCCTTCTACCCAATAAAATGTTTGTTAAACGAGCTTCTAAAATAAAAAAAACCAGCATTTCTGTTGTCTTTGTTATTTGATGAACCTTTGAAGACAAAAGTTTCTCTTGAACTTTATTCTGTCTAGACATTTCAATTCTACGACAGTTGTGCTCATTTTGGTGATTTCAAGGAAAATCTGTCTTCTTCTGATGATGAATGCCTTGGTTGCAGTGAGGACCTCATCTACTCACAGTTACCAGGAAAAGCTCTCCAAATCCTCACTGCTATCAGGGCTCCCCAGCAACTGTGGCTCTGGATGATGGTAAAGTATTAGGGCAACTGGTGATGTATCTTTTTTAATCATTATCGCTATCCTCATATGGTAATGGTTAGGTGCATTGCCTTATTCTGTTTTATTCTTGTATCATTTCACTTATTATCTCACTGTTTAACTCTTAAGATAAACGTATTTCTTTACCTTGGTGTCTGTGACCTTTGTACTGACCTCATCCACTGGCAAAACAATTTGACACATGTGAAGATACCATCAAGGAAGTATTTATGCTCAAAAGATGGTTAAAATGTTAATATACAGCCGGGTATTAGTATATTTTAGCTTCTGAATGCCTAATCTGCCAAACTAGGAGTTAATTTGCTTCTCCAGAAGATAACTACAGAAATACTCACAACTAAGGTCCCTACAAAAAAAAAATATCTGAAATTAGGGCATAGATGGGAGCAAAACTACATACCTTCAGTTGTATATAAACATAGTCCCATACATGGAAACACACACACCATTCTTGTAGAGTGGGCAAATGCAGAGAACTTAAATGAGTGCACACAGAGTCCCAGAACAGGGAGAAAAGAGCTTATTCCAATTTATGACTTTTGTATTGTTTTACTAGACTCCAGCACATTTCAATGAGAATATTTATATTATGTTTAAGTCACTAAGAGACATAGATGGAATACTCACCTGTGGCATTTCTGCCTTATATCTCCTGTGTCCAGTAACACTCTAACCTAACAGTTGACAAGAACCCAACTGGGATTTCACTTTCAGCCTTCAAGTACAAAACACAAGGATCACTCAAAAGTGAAAGTGAGAAAATTGATGAGTAGAATAGTCAATAAAGGAAAATTTCCTTCAATCCGCCCTTTAATCTTCTAGCCTAATAAATTCATCTGGTTTTCAGGATGGATGTAAAATCTCTCTTTCTTCCTGTTATACTTCATACAGAACAATTCTAAACCAACATTTTACACTTGTGTGTAAAGTACAGAATACAGATATGGGATTAGCCACATTCCTACCTTCCTTTGTGTCCTCTGTGAAGCTACATAGCATACTATTTATGATTTTTAAGCACACAAACTTATTTGTCTATCCATTCCTCCTTGAGGGTAAGCTGTTTCTTTCTTTAGCATTTACTTCAGTTAGTCAGATTAAAATGAAAAAAGTCAAAAAAAACTTTACAAAGTCCCTTAGGTAAATTACTTGCAAGAGATATCGCTTAATATGTAGCATGAACACGTTCATTTCTACTTAACTGCCTCCCACAATCTTAATTATCTCTCTCATATTTGAACAGTTTTTCCAATTTCTTCAAACATCCATTCTTTTTAATCTCCTTCCTTTTCTCTGTCCCTCCAATTTCTTTGAAGTTTTGAATCCAAAGGGATCCCAGAATCTGACCTGAAATAGGTGACAATCTCTTCTGAGTGCCATGTAAAAAATTTATTCCACAGTGAAAGTTTTCCCTGTGGACAACTGCCCCCAGACACCACTGCTACCTTTTGCTCTGGCAGTCTGGACCTCCTTGATTTTTTCTAGTGTCACAAACCTCAGCTCTGCATATCACATGTCACCTCTTCAGTTATTTCTGGCAAGGCTGCGGGAGAAATCAAAGAGGAGTAGACATAAGATTCTGATTGGGATTAAATGAATGGTCAGTGTCATTGGGATTTGAGAGAATTATTCATATAGAAGTCAGATTTATTTATTTATTTATTTATTTGCTTATTTTAAAGGATTTCATGACACAGAAATGCCAGAGGTTGTTTACACTCACCAGAAGCTAAAACAGTCCCAGAATGGTGTTTTACTCTCATGTATACGCATAGAAATCACCAGTTCTCAATTCATGGAACAAATGCATAGTTACCCAGTTTGGAGAATAAGTCTCTGGAAATAAAAAGCAAGAAGAGAAGAGGTGAAGAGGAACTGATGTTACTTTTAGATTATGTCTAAACAATTACTTGATGTTTTTCAGTATCAAGGACATCTGCTTTCTGGCTTTATTCTGCAGTGATTAACGTTCAGAAAATTTATCTAGAAGGGCTTTCTAAGATAGCTAAGAGGAATGAAGGTAAAATGAAGTGGAAACAATACTTATCCCTGTTGCTTATTGCTTATGAGCACATCGTGCTTGTCCTGAAGGGGAAACACATATTCTTGTCACAGCCACTGTCCATTACTGGGACATGAATGAATCCACGTTTCTCAACTGTTGTTCCAAGTATGTCTGCACTGTGAAACGCAGTGAGCTGAAAAAATCAAGTGAACTAATGGGGAGTCAAGTGGAATACTTACATAGCAGAGAACAACACTGTGCTTCTAGACTAGCTCAGGCCCAGCAGCAATCTAGGCTCAGTTACACGTGACATGTGATAATTCTCTCCTTCTGGCAAGAATGATTAATGGAGCAGAGCGGCATATCGTTGTGCTAAGGTTGCCACTGAGTCGCAGCTTGAGAGTCTGCTCCGTGTACTCTCAAACTTCAGGTGCATGGATGCATGATGGAGAAACTTAACTAGTTTCTGATTTATTGTATATGGCACTACTGCATTCAGTCCAAGTACTGCTGCTCTCACCATCTGTGTGTGAATTTCTGGGACAAAAGGAAAGCACCAGTTAGCATAGGAACCCAGACTTATCTTAAAGAGGAAAAAATGAGCACAGTGACTTCGATTCTATCATCTGGGCAGATACAAATAGACCAATAAATGCTAATTTCCAGGAGTCTTGTTTTTTCCTCAGTATGATGATGCTTGTGAATCTTCTGTCATACCTTCTCACAATAACTCTTATGCAAAGAGAAAGAAAGAAGTGTTCTGCTTCTTTGCACATAGTTCATTCAATAAAAATCTATTTTTGCTTTGTAAGCAACAGAACCCCTTTAGATTATCATTATTCATCATAAAATATATTAAAAAAATCTTCATAATGACTTGCCACAACAGCAAAAGTATCAGGGAGGCCTTGTGAGTCCCAAATGTGTTCTATATTTTACATTTCTAAATGCCTTTGGGGAAGTATTTGGTATGACTAATCAAGTTGGCTTGAATGTAATACTCCTTAGAAGAGTAAGCAGTAATTTCTCAACAAACTCTGAGAGCAGTACAGTGGCATGTTTTCAGTGCTTTAAGTTTTATTCCCATTTAAGATCATAATATCTAATAAATAAAAGAACAGCCTTGACATCCATCCCTTGATAAAACCAGAACATGATCGCTGTCAGAAGACACAAACATATTCTGTCCACACTCAGGTATGCTTTGACTGGTATCCAAGGAAGGATACATGGAAATCACATAGCTTACTATGGCATGGACTCCTAGATTTCAAACAATGGTAAAGTACTGAGAAAAGTCTATGATGGGATATTTTTGTTTGTTTTAGCAAGTCTATAGGAGTCTGATCATATTTTTAAAACCTTTTGAAAGGCAGTAAGGGAAAATATAAAGAGAACATTTACTTCAGTATAAAATAAAGACAAAATAGACAACTGAGGCAAAATAACAAGAGACAGTGAAGAAATTTAAATAATCATTGGATGGCAGGCTAGCAAGGCAGCAGATAAATTACTGGAAGCACAGTATTAATGGCAATACCATATAAATAGAAACAGAATCATCAATAAATCTTAACAAGAATGAGTTACGGTATGCTTTTGGAGGGGTCACTTCATACTGCACTGATACTATTTCTTTAGATTTGCTTAATCATTTTATCTGATATTTTTTTCAATTTGATTTTTCTAGCATTTGAAGCTCTGAATTTCAGCTAAAAAACTGGTGGTAATTTATTGAATTACTAGAAAAATCCCCTGAAAAACATGGATAATTTGCACTTCTTTTCTGCATTGAATCTCATCAGTTTTAAAGGCTGTACATACAAGAAAAGCTATTTTACATTTCTTCATTTTTTTTTTCTTTTATAAATCATAGAATTATAGAAACATTAAATTGTTTGAGTTGAAAAAGACCTTAAAATCATCTGCCTCCAGATGAGCCATCTACTATGGGCAGGAATATTTTCTACTGGAATTCCTATAATACACAAAAGAATTTAAGAAGAGAGAGAAAAAAGAATATTATCCATATGCTACATAAATACAAAATCAATCACTCATGCTTCTGTTTCTTATTTGTCCACCAAAACACAGAAACCTTTCAGTATCAGACTAGTTTTGAAGCAAAAGTAATGGGAAAGTAATGGGGAGGGGGGAAGCAGAAAAAAAAACAGTTCATGCTAATGCATGATTACACTGCATCACTACTTTTATAATTAGAGAGTGGTAAATAGTTTTTAGCCTCCTTGTGAGAATACATAACATTCATGAATCCATTGGTTCTGCTCTGCAACTCTGAAATGCATCAACAAGGCTAATGATTCACTAGATTAATGTGAGTGCAACACTGAGCAACATCTCTGTAGATGCTATCCTACCTTTAACATATACACCAGTCCCAGGCAGTTCCCAAACACAAATAGTAACACATTATTATAGAACATTTTTTTCTATCTTAGCTATTCAAAAGAGAAAGTGAACACAATTTTTAAAAAGTACTATTCTTAGTAGTCATGAGAAGTAACAGAAATACCAAGCAGTTGTATAAATGAAAGAAAACTTTTGGGTTGTTGAATTGAAGGTTCTTGTTAGCTGCAGGATATATACATAGCACCTGTGATAAGAGAATCAGCATGCATCCCCTGCGTAGCAGAGCATTTGGGGGGATTTGTATGACCATGCAGAACATTCAGGACTGGGGCCTGTGAGAGAGAAGTGAGCAGACTGGATGTTGAAGAATTGCCATAGCAGGAGACAGCCAGGTAAGAGGGGTGGTGGCAGAGCCTTAAAATTGAAAATACAGTAGGCTCTGTATATGCGCGTACATATATCATTCAGTACATAACTACTTATTATATTGCAAATACTTTCATTTCAGCAGGAATATCCCACTTGTAACATACTCTAGACACTGATCACATGGCCAATTTCAGTAGATTGAATCTACAGAAGTAGGACAACATGAGTGCAGGGGTAGAAAAGGTCCTGGAGGAGGGAGAATAATCTGACCTCCAATTAAACAGGTCAGTAACATGACCTTCAACCCACTCACCCTTAGGGTAGGGGTGGGGAAAAGAATAAATTGGAATGAACAAACTCAGACCCTTTCTGCTCATAAGAAGGGCAAGGTCAGGTGTGCAGAGATCTCTTGATGCCCTTTACTGAGCTAGTTCAACATCTAAAGAACAAACTCATAGCCACCACTTTTCTCCTGATCTGACTGGAAGGTTTTAGAGATCCCTTCAAATGAGGGAACGAAACATACCAAGAAAATAACCAAAGGAGACAGGCAGAAACAAACGAGAGCTGTCAGTGACAAAGAGAAAAAAAGAGGGAAGCTACAACTTCGAGAGCAGAGACCAGGGACAGACCCAGAGACAGACAGAAAGAACTAGAGTGGGAAGAAGAGATGGGATTCAACACAGAAGAAGGAATCTGCTCCTTCTCCTAATCAGTGGTCTGGAGAGGATGAACAGAAGCTAGGAAGGAGAAAAGATACTGAGTAGCTTGAGCCACACATCCACCCCATGGGGATGCACAACTCAGTCATTATCTGGTTTGTTTTAGGATGTTTCTTATGGGTAAGTCACATCAAGTTATTTTTAACGTTGCATTGTGGAGTTATGTGGGAAAGCTAGAGGAGTGTTAGCAACTGATGATAACAAGAATTTCTGCAATACTAGGAAGAGTTGGGAATAGCAAGGGTAGGCATGGAGAATAGAATACTTGCTGCAGAAATCAAGGTACCAAGGCAGAATGAGAAGGGTAGGAGTGTAATATGTAACAGCAGTTTTTCGGGCTTCAAATATTTGAGACTGAGAACGATTTATGTGTGTAGCGTGACAGTTTTTGGTGGAGAAAGGGAAAGTTGTGATCACTGTGAAGGAAGTTGGGGTCTTCACTGGGGCTAATGTTAAGTAGGATTTTATTGACTATGTGAAGTCAAGATGTGAAAATGGTGTGGTTGGTATCACAGTAACTTCAAATCTAGAGCAAAATATACAAGAAAATTATTAAAGATAATGATAAATCTTTTTTACAGGAAATTCAGACTGGTAACAGTCTATGTAACAAAGATACAGGTTGCATATCTTGTTTTCTCCTCCTAGTTTCCCAAAGTAAGAAGTGAAGAAGGGTGTCTCAATGCTGAATTGTGAGTATTTGTAGGTATTGCACTCTTTTAAGAAAACAATGAAGGACAAAGACATAAGTGTTATGACATGGTGGCAGGCATTTTCCAGAAAAGCTTATTTACACTGCAACTAACGAAAACTTAGATAAAATGTCTCTTGCTTTCAAGGCGAAATGCATTCATTGCTACCTATTCAACACACGGATCCTGCAGTACCATTTCTGCTTCCTATTTGGATAACTGTTATGATAAAGAGCATTCTGACGTAATTTTGATTCGCTGAGGTTATGAATTTGGAAGTGACCATCCTGAAGATTTTTTTTTTTTTTTAAATATACTGCCTTGATGATGTCATTTGTAAGAATAAAAGAAATTAAGACAAATTAAGGAGATGCAGGAATGGCATAAATCTGCATTAGGGAATGTTCAGACTGGAGATTAAGAAAAAATTTGAACTTTACTCTTCCTACTCTAAAAAAAAAAGGGGGGGGGGTGGGGGAGTGGGAGGAAAAATGAGGATTCTGTTTTGATTAAAGAAATGCATTTAAAAAATGCACAGGAAAGGTCTGCTGACTGAAACAGAAGGAACATACAACACAACATCCAGAATGTGCCCACAGTACAGGGCCAGAAAGAAATAAAAAAGAAATTCAGGAAAAAAAAAAAAAAAAAAAGCAAAACAATAGTATTTGACAGACTGAATGATGACAAAATATCTTAAAGTAAGGAAATGTAGAAAGTACATGATATAGATCCCTGAGGTGTGAAAACAGGCTTGGTTAAGCTCAAATATCAGGTTAACAAATAAGAGATAAAGCCAAACAGAAGAAGAACTCACCTCTAACAGGAAGATTGATGAGGTTGGACAACTGTCTCCTATATGAATTACTGTGGGTTTCTCATCATTTGTGCCATTTACAAGCTGGAGTGTGAGGGGAGCTGGAAGAGAATGCAGTGGGAGATTTTCCTATTTTGTTGTTCTACGTCTAATTTTTTTTTTTCTCCTCAGCTGTTCAGGTACAGAGTGGATCCGTCTGTGGTATATTTGGTAAGATGGCATGTGATTACTTAAAATATGTGCATCACTGGGCAATTCTAGCAGCAAATAGTGGGATTAAATGGGATTTTGTAACTCACTCTAGTATGCTACTCTCCACTTTCTCTCTGTGCCCTGTAATGCTCTAAAGTAGCAAGGCAGCCCCTTAGTCATTGTGTTGTCTTTGACAAACACTGAATTGCCATCACAGGCATTTTTTCAATTTCATGTATAGTTGTAAGTATAATATTAATAAACTCTTCTGTCATTATATGCCTTTTAAAAGGCCCATTTTTAAAAAAATAATTTCATTCTGATTCCTTAGTAATTCAGTATGAGATTAAAAAGAATTGCAGTAGTTGGGCATCTAAAGGCTGCATTAGTAAGAGTGAAGCCAGCACACTGAGAGTTATGATTTTTCCCCTCTACTTGTAACTCATAAGGACACTCCTGGAATACCTAGCTCAGTTTTGTTTCCCCAGTTAAAAAGAGGTGTTGACAAACTGGAGCAACAACAACTAGATCCAACAAACTGGCTAGGGGACATGATATATGAGGAGGAACTAGGATTATTCATTCAGTAGGAGGCTAAGAGGTAGAGAGAAAGGAACTTAATTGATGTTTTCCACTAGCTAAAGTAGGTCTAGATTGAAGACAGAGCCAGAGCTTCCTCAGAAGTGCATAGCAAAAGGATCTGAGGTCATGGACCAAACTGCATCCAGGAAAGCTGATTAGACAAGGACAAAATGCTTACCTCAAGGTAATGTCACACAGGAACTGGTGCCTGAAAGAGACGTGGCATCCCCTTCTCTGGAGCCTGTCAAACTCTATTGAAAAAGGCTCCAAATGATTGTGTCTAACTTTGACATTAGCTATGCTTTAAGCAAGGAGAGATTTTAATATGCCCCCTCCAAAAAAAAAAATCTTTCTGTCCCATATTCAGTTTTCTCTCTTCTTCCAGGCTGGTGGTTGTGATCGGTGGATTGCTGCTGCTGTGCGGCTTGATTTCTGTCTGCATGAGATGCTGTTTCACTCACTGCCGTCAGACTGGGGAGGAATCAGGTCCTCAACCCTATGAGGTCACTGTCATTGCTTTTGATCACGACAGCACTCTCCAGAGCACCATTACCTGTGAGTTGGCTTTGTCAGATACTGGGCACCTCGGAACACCCCACTTTGGGGGTCGCACCATAAAGTGCCCACACTGAGGCATATGAAGTCCTCCAATGGGCTGGCAGAGGGATGTCCCAGGCAGGGTGCTGGGAATGTGGCATCTGTAAATACTATAAATGAAGGTATTCACCAGGCCTTATGTAGTAAATATGGTCAGATGGTGAACTGTTTGTAAGACATGTTTGGGTGCACTAAGGGCAGCTACAAGACCCTTGATGGCATTAGAGGAAAGAGTAATTATGGGATGTTGCTGATGGGGCTTCATTCCCCATTCATTCTGGCCATGGGGGGAGAAAAGCTTCTGCACTGCAAATATACCTGTCCCACTTCAATCGTACGGTGCTTTCAGGATGAGGCAAATAGCTTCTGTCTCCTCCCTTTCAGCTCTCCATTCGGTATTTGGGCCAGCCGCCAGGAGGATACTAGCAGTGGCACACTCCCACAACGCTGTGCAGGGCACACCACCCCTCACAGCATCAGACACTCCTCCAGTCTACGATGAAGCTCTACACATGAGCAGGTTCACCGTTGCCAGGGCTGGGCAGAAAATGCTAGACCTGGATCCAGCGACTAAAGAAAAACTGCAGACATCTGCTGAGGACAAGGACATCCAGCCAGTCTTTGCAGGACACTAGTGCTTACGTTTACTGAATGGCAGTAAAACACAGAATAGTAAAATTGAGAGAGTAGTTCTTGTGGTCAGGGTTAGGAATATCAGATTAATCTCCTTAGTCTAATGAGAAAGGGAAAAAAAGAGTCTAAAATTCCAGATAGTTCTAGATCCAGTGTATTTTGGATAGCTCCCTTTTACACACTCCCTTGAGACAACTGACCACTGGCAATCCCTGGATCCATTTATTATACACACACATCACTAGATTCACAGACTGCACATACAAGCATGTAACAGGATCAAAGTGCTGAGCCTTGCAGGCTGGTGCTGGATACCTACAGGGAGATGCTACCTCATTCTGGTTACCGCCAGCCTAAATTTCCTGGGGATGGCAGAAGTTTTCAGAGCAGGAAATACAATACGAAAAGATCTTACACCAATATTAAAACCAAACTGCAGGAAAGCGCCAACCATTCACAGTAAATAATAAAAATAAGAGGCTACATGTACACAATCTGCAGGTAAGCGAAAGATAGCATAGCATACACTGGTAGTATTTATTTTACAGTTCCCTAAATGCTCTATAGGATATATAGAAGGAGTACACTCTTGTTTTGAATATGATATATAGCAATTCTGAAATAGCAGTTATAAGCTCTGGTATTTGAATTGAAACTATGATGTGTGCAATAACAAATCAAACAATAGGAGAAGAAAGTATTCTATTGTTAAAATAAAGTTTAATTATGTTTTAGTTGCCTTCATATTGTATCACTTATTAATTATTCCTACCACTGCTGTCAAAATCAGATCAGACTAAATAAGATGATTTAAAACATTTAAGCCATTTCTCAGATATAAATAATTAATGAGTCTTTCCTGATCCATAGAGATATGATTAATCATGAATAGATATTCATCAAACTGCTTGGATGAGCACTGCTATGGACTAACTGTAAAAAGTTTACTTCAATTAGATACTCAAAGTGACAGTTGAATTACACTGGTGTTGCCTGTACCCCAGGTCTTGCAACTGAAAAACATTAAAGAAGAATAACATCAAATACCAAATAATAAGCAGTCATTATTTATTTTATTTTTATTACCTTAGTTAATAATTACTTTATATGTTAATGTTGATATGAATGCACAGGTCACAGACTGAACATCTATCTGAAGTGACTGCACAGCTCTTTCTACTATGCTACCCAAAACCTCACAGACTTTAACATGTTTATATTCGCAACACTCCTTGTGAAATACAGAATAATACAGCCATTTTGCAGATAAGGAGAGAAAGGACCAGGTTACTAAATGTGTTTAGGAATGTAAAGATTGAGATTACAACCATCAAGGGATCTAGAAAGGAATGCCGGTAAGATACCTCCAGGGATAGCACAAAGCAGAATTGAATAGCTAAAAGATCTTTGATCGTGTTTCAGACTTTGGCTGGTCACAGAAATTCTGTATCCAAGAAAATAATTTAATGCAGGTCTCAGTTCCCTAGCTCACCATTTTTCTTCCTGAATTGCCTAGTCATTTGTTAATTGCGTCAGTAATAAATGATAAACTTGAATAAAATAAATGCGACATATAAGGTTATGTCTCTTCTGCTACACAGTACTTGAAATAATAATAACTGCTTGTGAAACATCCAGTTGTGTGACCTATTTCATCAGCTGATCTCTGAAGTCGAGTTCAATCCTGACGTCTCTATCACGCTGCAGAACGTTTCTTGGAAGTCTCTTGTTTACTTCACAGTAAAGGCCTGAAGCAAGCAGAGACATTTGCTGAAAATGTGTCTGGCTCTATTAAGATCAGAAACTTCTTGGAAGCCTTCACAAACATTTCCATTTGGAACATACCATTCCTGCACTGTCTCCACCCCCTTTTTTCCTGCAGAAGAACACAGCCGGCCAAGTCCTGAGCTGTGCATGCATTTAACATGAGATGGCAGTCGTTCTCCACAGGGGAACAATCTCACTGCTGGAATTCTTCCCAAAGCTAGTAATACAAGAATGGATATTTTAAAAGAATTTTTATGATAATTTTGTAATTTTGATAAGATGTGCAATAAAAAAGGGAAGTTTTAAAATGCTTTATTCCTTCCCCCTCCTCTGCATCACATCACCTTTGCTATCTCTGTTCTCCATTTCAAGGAAGAAATAATATGCCACTTGTACTGAGAGCTGGGTATTACCTGCTGATCTGAGCGTATTTCCCTTGACCAGAGCCACTATTGTCTAACTCTCAAGTACTTTTCCGTCTGCTCACATCTTTTTCCATTTGACTCACGCTTCACTGTGCCTGTAACAGGTCTTTTGCTGGCAAGAGATCAAATAATGTGACAATAATGATAGATATAACTTCATTTGTTAAGGATTTCCTAAAGTGATTTCAGATGACTGAATCCAGAGAAAATACTTTACTCTTGCAGCTGATCCTACACTCAAGTCCACAGGATATAATAAAATAATAGATTAGAAAAAGAAAAAGAAAAAAAAAAAAGTAAAAGCAGACCAACTGCCACCATATCTCATTGGTGACAAACCTTTTGGCTTGCCTGGGCCACACTGAGTGAATAGAAACTGTCTTGAGCCAAGTGGGTTGATCCAAAAGTAATGCCTCCTATTTATTTCCACGCATATTATGGTTGATACAAAGAGCTCAATAACACTGTTTGACAGAGCAAATCTCAGCTACAGAACACTAACTTTCAACATAGCCACCACCATTAACTATTCATTTTTACGCACAAGGAACAAAAGCTTTCATGCTGCTCTCATAAAAATCTGAACACGTGAAGGTGACCCATTGTCACCACAGCTGAAACACACCACCCCACCATGCTCAGTTCCACTGTTTAGTCTCCACAAACATCCAGCAAGTGAACGTTGGTGGGTGCAATTTTTTCTACATGGAGGAATTCAAAAACATGCCTTTGCTTCATATGCTCTTCTATATCAGACACTATTTTCTCAGATGATCCCTCTGCTGCTACCTGCCACAAAGCAAAAAAATGCAATGGAATATTGGTATTGCCTCCACCACTAACATCCACCTCTGATGTTATGGGTCAACATAATATAACAGGAGGCATTACTTTTGGAGCAGCCCTCATAAAATATACACTATTCTTAATATGTAAATTAAAAACATTTTGATTGTAAATACTTTTTCTTTAAATTTAAAAAGAAAAAGAACAAAACCTTTAAACCAGTGGGATATTTGAGTCAACTCTTTGAAAGGGTAGATAAGAGCAGAACAAGGGGAAATGGTTTTAAGTTGAGGGAGGGAAGATTTAGGTTTGATATCATGGGGAAGTTCTTTACCAAGAGAGTGGTGAGGTGATGGAACAGGCTGCCCAGAGAAGTTGTGGAACACCCCATCCCTGGAGGTGTTCAAGGCCCAGTTAGATGGGGCCCTGGGCAGCCTGGTCTAGTATTAAATGGGGAGGCTGGTGGCCCTGCCTGTGGTGGGGGGGTTGGAGATTCATGATCCTTGAAGCCCTTCCAAATCAGGCCACTCTGTGATTCTGTGATTTTGTTTTTCTGAAACTGACACACCAGGCAGGTGGCAGTGGCTGCAATTCTTAGTGAGGATTCAAGGTATTCATCAGAGATTTTTGACCTAATTTTGACCGGTCAAAATTGTCAAGGATGTACTTCATCCTCGACAATAATTGTTCAAAATGTACGTACTGCCAAAAATAACTGACATGAATAAGATGTGATTGTGAGGCAAAGGATATTTTTCTCTGCTAAAATAGGGATGCTGAAAATCCATTAAATAGAGCACAATAAAAGAGCACAATGACATTATTTGAGCAAATTCTCAGCTACAAAACACTATTTTTCAACACAGTCACCACCACTAGCTATCAATTTTCACCAGCAATCAACAAGAGCCTGCATACCACTCTCGTAACAATCTGTGCAAGCAAAAGTGACCCACTGCCACTATCTCCTCTGCTGAAATGCACCACCTCACTGTGCTCACATCCACAGTTTGGTCTCCATGTTCAGTAAACATCGATGAATATCAATGGGTGCAATTTTTTCCCGCATGGAGCACTTCAATGACACACCTTTGCTTCATATGCACTTTCATGTCTGACACCATTTTGTCAGACTGTCCCTCTGCTGCCACCTGTCATACAGTGACAAAATGTAATGAAATATTGGCAGGAAGATTCAACCTCTACTGCTATACCATCAACATCCAACTCTGATGTTCTGGATCAAAATAATAAAATAGGAGGCACTACTTTTTGAGCAGTCCTAGTATTTTTAATTACAATTTAAACACAAGTAACAAAACTTATTTTAATCCCCAATATTTCCATTAAAAGATTAAAAAAGAGAACAACAAAAACATAAGAGTAGAGAGATATTTGAACTTGTCTTTGTGAAACTAATTTATCAGTCTGGTTCGATGGCAGTGGTTGCATTTCTGAGTGAGCTCTCAAGCTCTGTTCATCACAGATTTTTCATCTAATTTTGCTCTTCCTGTAATTCACCCTTGAAAATAGTTGCTCACAAATCTATGCACTGCCATAAACTAAAGACATGAATAAGATGTGGAAGTGAAGGATATTTTAGTATGGTCGGACAGGGCAGAGGTCTGCTGCAGGATAGGCTGGGAGGGGATGCGTGCAATCTGTGGGTCATGGGTTGAATGTGCCTGCACTGAAGATTTTTTAAAAGGCCAGTCTGTGGTGATACAGACAGAATAACCACCTAAGGGGAGATATCAATGAAAGAGTGAGTCCTGATTTACAGGTAGCTGATACAACTAAAGAGCAGTTTCAGGGACTGTCCTGGGAGATATCCACCTAAGATGGCATCTCCAAGAAAACTAAGGCAAATAAGAAAATAAGGGACATTTTAATTCTGAAGTCAGGGAATTTTATCCAGTCATGTGGATATTTCTAAGCTAGTTATGCTTCACAGTAGAACACTGCAAAGCTCCAAGCACTGCTCCTAGAGTGCTGTGTGATACAGTAAGGACTACAGCCCCTTTCCCCTGGATTCTGTGTAAATATTTTTATTTCCTG